CACAGACTCATCATTTTTGGAGAGGAGTCTGGGACACTTTGGATATGATAAGCTTTCCTTGCAATTTCTTCAGTACTTTGTTGAGGAAGTTGCGTAACATAGTCTACGGATGGCTTCAATTCTTGACTTCTTCATCTTTTAGCCTATTCAGTACTTTGTAGAATAGCTAAAATTCCTCCGGTGTTGCGTTTATCACGTGGCCGTTGTCGAAGTCTTGAATTTGAATTGCCGTCGAAGAATAAAGAAATAGTTTATACTCATATACTTTCACTAGTAGAAAATCGACCAAACTAGACGGAACAAACTAGACGAAAAAAATTTCCGTCTAGTTTGGAGCAAACTAGACAGAAAATTTCCGTCTAGTTTGGATCAAACTAGACGGAAAATTCTGTCTAGTTTGACAAACGAGACGGAAAAGTTAAACTAGACGGAAATTCCGTCTAGGTTGACTGGTCAACCTAGATGGATTTCCGTCTAGATTGAATCAACCTAGACGGAATTCCGTCTAGGTTGACTAGTCAATCTAGACTGGAAATCGTCTAGTATTGACCAGTCAACCTAGAAGGAATTCCATCTAGGTGAGCAAGCCTAGACGATTCCTTAGGTTACCTAGGCAAACTATTAGAGTTTGCCCCAGGGCAAATCAGCCGCCACTCCCCCCATTCTCTTCAACCTCTCTTCTCCCCCTCTGACCCCCGTCCCGACCCCCGCTCCTCGGCCTTCCCCCCGACCCCATTCCCGAACCCCCTCCTCGGCTCCCCCGCTTCCCCCTGCAGCCCCCCCCCTCCGACCCCCTCCTTCGGCCCCCATCCCTTTCTCGCCCTTCCTCCCTTATCCCCCATCCTCGCCTCCGCCCTACCCCCATCGGCCCCCCCTCCACCCCCTCCTTCGCCCCTCCCGACCCCCTCGGCCCTCATCCGTCCCTCCCGACCCCCCTCCTCGGGCCTCCCCCGACCCCCTCCTCCCCCGGTCGCCCCCCCTCCGACCCTCTCCCCAGCCACCACTTCCGAGCCCCCCTCCTGCCGCCTCCCCCTTCCTCACCCTCCACCCCTTGCCCCCCCTCGGTAGGCCCCTCCCCTCCTCGGCAGCCCTCCCTCGCCCCGCCTTGTTCCATCCACTCCTCCCTGGAGGCCCACATCCCCCACCGGTACCCCCCTCCCCTCGTGACTCCCCCCTCCCCTCCTCGACAGCCCCCTTTTCTCCAATCGGCAAGCCCCCTCCCGACCTCACCCTTCCCGAGCCTCCCGGCTTCCGTGGTTGAATCAGTTTAAAAGTATGGATTTTCCTACTGATGCTTTAGAAATTTAAATTTTATTTATTATTATTGTTTGAATGTTGGTTTAAAACCCTAATTTATTATAAAAAATAAACGAGGTTAAATGTCTGAAAAACCATGAACTCAACTACATGTAATCATGTGAACAGACACTAGTAATCATTATTGAGTTTTAAACACTTACAAGTTATACTCAGTTTAAGTTTCATTCGTGCTATGAAGTATGTGTGATTATTTAACGTTGTGATGTGAAAATATGTGAAATAATTTTTTTAAAAAAATAGAGTGATATATAACACATTATAAATTTTTATAATGTGTTATAATCCAATTTAGGTGAACAAAAAAAATAACGTTATCCCTAGACTTTCGTCCAATAATTACATCCAATTATTTGGACTTATAATATATGATATACGACTCAGATTTGGGTAGGAGATGAAGTTTTCTCCCAAAAATGAGCGTTTATTTTATATTATAGGAATAAAAAATTGGTACTAAAATTCGTAATTATTGGATCTGTCCTTCTCGGACGGGTTAGGAATATAGTAGTGCATACATCCAACTTTATATACTTTGTATATTTTCATTCTTGAAAGTTTTGGCAGCACCTATTCGTTGTTCTCCGTGTACAATAAGCGTATGTTGTTCTGCGTTTCGGGTTATTACTGATACGCATAATAACATCCGCACAGTGTACAGAGAGAACAACGAGTAGGTGCTGCCAAAATTTTCAAGAAATAAAAATATACAAAGTATATGAAGTTGGATGTAAGTACTACTATATTCTTAATGGATAGAAGCCTTCCTATGACAGCCGCAAGATTAGTGTAATTAGTTTTTACGTATGTTTTATATATATTTTATGTAGATAAATATTCATATTGTTAAATGATATATGAACGTATGTTTTATGTGTGTTGTATGTATAAGAGTAATGGATGTATTAGTAGTTGTGAGACTAATCGTATTTAATATTTATATATAATTTACAGATGAGGATAATTCCTGACAAGTCATGGATAGATATCCCTAGGCATCATAGATTTCGTGACACACGATACAAGGAGGGATGTGAAGCCTTCATGCGTTATGCGGAAATGAATCCGAGAAATTTAAGAAGCGGTGCTATGTACTGTCCTTGTTGTAGGTGTAGGAATTTGAAGCTGCTGAATAGAAATGATATACGGATTCACCTAATAAAATCAGGTTTTGATGAGAAATATAAATACTGGAACTGGCATGGGGAGGGTATCACTGAAGATGATGATCCAAATATGCATGTTGGTACGTCCGGTGGCCAACGAATAGATAACACAGAAACATTGTTGAATGATATTTTTCCTCGACCTATAGAATATGATGTTGATGATAATGTCGAGGATGATATTGGAGACAAAAGTGAAGATGATAACGAAGTTGAAGCCGAAGAGGTAGGAGGTGTCGCGAGTGTCGAAAATATTGATGATATGCATTCCTCCGCAGAAATAAAGCGAATAATGGAGCTACTAGAAGATAGTGAAAAGGACTTATATGAGGGATGTACCGAGTACTCCAGATTTTCATTTATGCTGAAACTCCTTCATATTAAGACACTTAGCGGTATGTCAGATAATTATTTTGAAATGCTTCTTGATTTGCTTCGGACTGTAATCCCTGGAGGAGAGAATAGCATACCCCAAACAACTTATCAAGCTGAGAAGATTGTCTCCGCTCTGGGTCTTGATTATAATAAGATTGATGCATGTCCGAATGATTGTATTTTGTACCACAAAGCCAATAAAGACCTTCAAGAGTGTCTGACATGTGGAGTTTGGAGGGTAACTCAGAACAGTGGGGTCATGGGCTTGTTTGCCCAAGAATGTTTTTCAAGTATAAGAGATCAGAATCCAATTCTAGCTGACATATTATATTATGGCCAATTAGAAGATATCGTTGAGGTAATTTACGGGTTTGGTAAACCAAAACAATGTACTTACACGATGTTCAAGGTTCGGTGGTGTCCTGCAAAAAAGCAAAAGGATCATTATGGATTTACACTAGTCAATCTTCACCGAGAAGTATATACGGATGAGAAATTCATTTTCGCAGAACAAGCTGATCAGTGCTTCTATGTGAAAGATCCGAATGTCATGTATGATTGGGTGGTTTTGTACAAGGAGCCAAGATCTGTTGTTCTTCCTAATAACAATGAAAAAAATATTGAAGAAAGTGAAGATAATTATAGTGAACCAATCGGTTCATCTGATGATGTTTGGCAAGAATTCTCTTACGCACAGAATGTGGCGCTGGATGTAGGTATGAACTATATATGTTACACCATATTATCGATTTTTATCTTATCATAATAAAAACAATAATGCATTTCATAACAACATATCTCATGAGCATGTATACAATTTTTTCTTAACGATTGTCTTTATTATATTTGCAGATGAGGAGGAGGATGAGGAGGCTCTTTGACCTGGAGGGTGATCGCTCACGGAGTATCACCCCAGGTAGTGGTGCTGATGATCCACTACCATCTCCGGATGCAGGTATAAAAATTAATTAATACTTTAACATGTTTTATAAATTTTTAGTTATCTAGCTCATAGTGTTCATTTGTTGTAGATGCTGGATATTCATCACCCGGCCCCTCTGATGCAGCACCAGAACCATCCCCCGACGCAGCACCAGAACCATCCCCCGACGCAGGTATTAAATATTTAATAATTGATAATGTTCAATTAAAATTTAATATTAATGATTCTTCTTTCTTATGTAGGTGCTACTTGGACCCCGACATATCCATCATATACATTCCATACTGACTTGCGGCCAAAGACCCAGGACTTTCTCAGTTTACCTTTACCTCCGGACTCTCATAAGTCCAAGGCTGATTCAAGGAAGTACCACCCACGTGCTGCGAGAAGGTATCATGAAATACTTTCTATGTTGGAGACTAGGAAAGCCGTTGCACTCGCAGCAAAAGAAAGAGAGATAGCGAATGGTAAATTATATAAATACTTTTAATTTTCACATTTGTATATTATATGATATATTATCATGTTGTCATTATTGTAGGTGCTAAGAAGGATCATATAGAGGGACGACGTGGCGGAGGTAAGCCTGATTCTAAACAACCGCCAAGAGGAATGAGGGGCATTATTAGGTGGAATAGTTCTAATTTGCCCGTTGGTCCTTGGTCAACCCGATTGAATGCATATATTGGGGTTCTCGTGCGTAGAGCGACCATTATCAACCCTTATTTTCATTTTCGAGAATTACCATGGACCGCATACGAGGCGATATGGACTGAGCTTATGGTAAGTGCATATTGTTTTAGATTTTCATTTATTAATAATTAGTAATTGATATTAAATTATCCTTACTAAATGTGTATGTAAATCTACAGGACTGCTTCTGCCTTGAGGACTTTGAGGGGGCTTGGAATTATGTGTTTAATGTCAAGGTTGAAGCAGTCCTCAAACAATGGAGGCATGAGATCAAACATGAAACCTATGACAGGTATGAGGAGGACCGACAGAGGTTTTTAAACCTCGATGACCGAGTTGACCGAGTTGACGAGATTCTATTTTGTTAACATTACGAGGAAACGAGAACACAAATAATATGGTCATTATCTTGAATTAACTATAAATTTGTGCTTTAGGAGGGATTTGAGAACACATCCAAGGAGGCTGTATCTGTCTACATTTCGCAGGAGGAGGAACAAACCGAGCCAGACCCTCACATGCTTTCTGTAGAGGAGAACATCAATCTCACACAGAACCTGATGGGTCATAATAGGTAAGGATAGTGAAAAATCGAATCAATTTGAATACTACATACTATTTATATTTGTTTACCATTATTGAATTTGAGAGCAAAGTTTAATATTTATTTCTCCCTAATAATAGGAGAGGAAGATATCCTCTACATGGTGTCGGAGCTTCACCTGGTATAAGCATCAGATCGTCCACAGCATCCTCCACACCATCTACATCGACGAGAGCAGCCACAAGCAGTTTCCAGGCTATGCCATTTGTCGCACGTATCTCTGCGTATCTGATTGACAAAATTGACCCGGAGCTGCATATTCAGGTGACTAATGAGATGACTAGAGTTGCGCTGACGGCGAACTCGATGGACGATCTCATGGGGTATGTTATACAATATTTAGGCGGTGCGATTCCTTATAGCGCGTATGGTGGTATCATACGGATCATTAGCTCGATTGGCGATAATTCCGGCGCTAGACAGAGTAGTGCTCAGGTACCTTATTTTTTCTTATATTTATAAATTCATTTTTATCTAATATGTTATCAAACACCACATAATGATTATTCAATTAAACATTCAGAGTGGAGATATTGGAGGGAGCAGCACCCGTTCTCGTAATCGGGATAGAGATACCCCCGCCGACGACGATGGATGAGGTTTTTTTATTTTTAATGCAATAAACAGTTTTATTTGTTATAACACTACATTTATTCATGTCGTGTATTATCTTAGTCATGTGCATTGTTAGTATATATGTTGTTGGATGTGTTTTAGACGGAACTGATTGATGTATATTTTGAAGTGGATGGTTGGATTTGTACAATGTGTTGGATTTGGTTATATAGATGTTTTTGAATGGAATTGTTATGAATTTTGATTATGATTGGATGGTTGAATGTGGCGTGTATAGTATTTTCTGGATGTATTCAAATATTAATGTAATTGTACAGGGAAATCCAAATTTTAATTAATTTTTTTTCCTGAAAAAAGACAATCTAGACGGAATTCCGTCTAGATTGAATCAATCTAGACGGAAATTCCATCTAGGTTGTAAAAATTCAACCCAGACGGAATTCCGTCTGGGTTGTCAACCTAGACGGAATTCTTTATTCCGTCTAGGTTGACTTCCGTCTAGATTGATCAATCTAGACGGAATTCCGTCTAGTTCGAAGCAATCTAGACGGAAGCAAAATAAACCAATCAAACTAGACGGAATTCCGTCTAGACGAACTAATCTAGACGGAATTGCAATCAACCTAGACGGAAATTTCCGTCTAGGTTGATCGTTTTTCTACTAGTGTTTATTGGAGTGTTCGGGAAATAGTTTAACCTCATATACCCATTGGGAGGTTCAAGGAGATGCAGTTTATACTCATATACTCATCGGAGTGTTCGGGAAATAGTTTAAGCTCGTTTGTCTCTCGAAAGTTCGTCAGGTTATCCTTAAGAATATTCAGATTAATATTCTCCAGAAACTTCCTGTTGAGAGTAGGGAAACAGTTTAGACTCGTGTACCTATTGGAGTAACATGGTCTCTTTTTTTGGTGGTAGAGATGAACTCAATGATGGAGAGGAAGAATTTTATATTATATCTCCTGGTCTTTTTTTTCGTTGGTAGAGATAAACCCAAAAATCAGAGATGAAGAATTTTGTATTCTATCTCCTGGTCTCTTGTTTGTTGGTAGAGATGAACCCGAAATCGGAGAGGAAGAATTTTATATTCTATCTCCTGGTCTCTTGTTTGTTGGTAGAGATGAACCCGAAATCAGAGAGGAAGAATTTTATATTCTATCTCCTGGTCTCTTGTTTGTTGGTAGAGATGAACCCGAAATCGGAGAGGAAGAATTTTATATTCTATCTCCTGGTCTATTGTTTGTTGGTAGAGATGAACCCAAAATCGGAGAGGAAGAATTTTATATTCTATCTCCTGGTCTCTTGTTTGTTGGTAGAGATAAACCCAAAATTGGAGAGGAAGAATTTTATATTCTATCTCCTGGTGCAAAGGGAAACTCAAAGTGGGATCTCCACTTAGAGAATCTGGATTGGTTTGAATAATCCTAACTGTCATAAGGTTTGATTATCCAATTCAAAGTTGGACCTTTCGTTCACAAAATGAATCGAAAGGAGATTTTGACTGTGGTCCTAACTGTAGTAAGGTTTGACCAGGTGGGAGTTTCGAGGTGATCCTAACTATAGGAAGGTTTGATCACTCGATTTACGGACCTCTCGTTCATGAAAGGAGAGGAGATTTTGATTTTGGTCCTAACTATTTAAAGGTTTGACCAAATGGGAATTCGAGGCGATCCTAACTGTTTAAAGGTTTGATCGCTCGATTTATGGACCTCTCGTTCATTGAAGGAATCGAGAGGGGATTTTGGCTTTGGTCCTAACTGTTTAAAGGTTTGACCAAATGGGAATTTGAGACGATCCTAACTGTTTAAAGGTTTGATCGTTCAATTTGAGTGGACCTCTCGTTCATGGAAGGAATCGAGAGGGGATTTTGGTTTTGGTCCTAATTGTTTAAAGGTTTGACCAAATGGGGACTTGAGACGATCCTAACTGTTTAAAGGTTTGATCGTTTAATTTGTGGACCTCTCGTTCATGAAAGGAATCGAGAGGGGATTTTGGCTTTGGTCCTAATTGTTTAAAGGTTTGACCAAATGAGAATTCGAGACGATCATAACTGTTTAAAGGTTTACCGTTCAATTTGTGGACCTCTCGTTCATGGAAGGAATCGAGAGGGGATTTTGGTTTTGGTCCTAACTGTTTAAAGGTTTGACCAAATAAGAAGTGGGAGCGAGGTACAAATAACGATGGGAATGTTAACTTGTACACAACACCTGGTGGGAGTTTTTGGTGGGGGTTTGATAATCGCTATAGATCAGCTGATTGAAATTTTGGATGTCGTGTCAGGACTTCAACAGTGGGAGTGTTAAAGACTTAGGCACAGTGGGGGTTTGAATGGATTCAACCGTGAAGAATTTTGGTGGACCCACCGTCAATTAATTTGATCAGTGAGGGATTTTGTGGTGGAGGACCGTGAATCATTAAGCACTCCACAATCACTCCGTGGGAGTTTCGTGAGGGAAAATTGACCCGATGAAGTCATTGAATCTCATCTCAACGAAAGAGTGTTTCGAAAGTCACTGACTGTAGAAAGGTTTTAATCATCTTGGAAATGATTAAATAGCCACGGTGGGAGGTTCTTAATCATGATTAAGAATAAATTATTCTGATGATTGGTTTTCACCTTGAATAATTAATCGGTTTTGGGTTATCCTTAAAAATACCATGTGTAGTATTCTCCAGGAACTTTCCATTAGAATGAATTGAGGTATTCCACCCCCAGCTCTTTGGTGAATCTAAATCTAATTATATTCGGCCACATTGTTGGGTTATCCTTAAGAATATTAGGAGTAATATTCTCTAGGAACTTCCCGTTATATGAACCATCCACCCCCAGCTTCCTTCGCGAAACTGGGTCTAACATTATATTCAGCTACATGACCGGGTTATCCTTAAGAATATTACGTGTAAAAATTCTCCAGGAACTTCCCGTGAAAGAAAGGAAACAGTTTAGACTCATATACCTATTGGAGTATCGAGAAGCAGTTTATACTCGTATACTCTTTGGAGTGTTGAGAAGCAGTTTATACTCGTATACTCTTCGGAGTGACATGAAGAAGTAGTTTATACTCGTATACTCTTCAGAGTTACATGAAGAAGCAGTTTATACTCGTATACTCTTCAGAGTTACATGAAGAAGCAGTTTATACTCGTATACTCTTCAGAGTTACATGAAGAAGCAGTTTATACTCGTATACTCTTTGGAGTTAGGGAAAACAGTTTATACTCGTGTACCCAATGGAGTAA